CAGGCTGAGACCGTTTGACAAAAATCCAGAATTCCTTCTGCCACGCATAATTGACCCTCCCTCTGGACCTTGAATCGGTGGAGTTTCCCCAAGCTGAAAAGAGGAACATGCATCCCCAGACCAGACAAGATGTGACTGCAACCATTCTTGGGGGTGGGAAGGCTGGGGATGGGGTGAGAAAGCAGCGGTCCTGAGTGTTGAGTCTTTTTCTCTTACAAGAAGTTAGGAGTTGAGGGGAAGGCAAGACACAGTAAGTGAAGGTGGAAACAGGAACAGATGCAGTTTCTCTGAGTGACAAATGAGTTTCCATCCTACTTCTCAGGTTGGTTTGGTCCTGAACCCTCTTTCTGTCCCCTGGCCCCCACCATGCATGATGGGTGCTGTTCACGTGCACAGTACCCTCACCAGTGGCTCCTGGGCCTGCCACTGCCTTGCAAGAAATCGTCACATAGGGCAGGTCATTACAAGAATAGCCTCAGTCCACTCTGAATTACCATCTTGTAAGTAAGTGATTTACAAACTGGTGAACTTGGCTAAGATTAGATGTTACTTGGAGCTCCCCTTACAACTGATGTATATACCACCAAGTCAGGATATGACCATTCACTGTGGTCAACTTAAGTTACCAGGCAATATGCTTAGTCGGTGAGCTAGCCCGTCATTGGTAATCGACTTGCTCACTTATGCATTTGTCATTTACTCAGCGTATACTTACTTACTAAGCTCTGAGGATGTGCCAGACATCCTGTTGGCAGCTGGGCACGTAGTTGTGAACAAACCAGACCCAGTGCCTGCCCACGTGAAGCCTGGAGTCTAAGGTCACGGTTGGCTTCCTGCCTTGACAGTTACCCAGCTGGGAAAGTACTGGCATGAAATGGTTATACAGAGCTGGGGCCATAGGGCCCTCCGTCTGGGGGTTACTCTTGTTACTGGCCTGAGCCATGCGCAGTCTAATCCAAGCACAAAGGTGAGGTTTGAGAGGAGGGGGCCTGCCTGCGCAGTGTTTGTACCTGGGCAGGACACTGCCGACTCAGCACATCACAGCCACCGGGAACTCTTCTGGGAAAGGCACCTGTGTGCGGACCAGTAATTTAAGGTCTTCCCAAGGAGACCTTCTAAGCCCTGTGTTTGTTTTGTGACTTATGCTCACCTCGTGCCCAATAGCATTAAAGACCTTAGTTCCACTAGGTACCGTTAGGACATGTTTACTTTCAAATTTGCAGCAGAGCGGTTGGTCGAGTGGTTAAAGTCTCTTCTTCACTTAACTAAAAAAATAGGCCCTTTATTTCATTCTATTAATAAGTATATTAAGTTTAAATAATTTTTAACTTTTTAAATTTCTGATTTATGCATTATGTCACAATCCAGTGAAGAGCATAAAATGGTCTATTAGAATCCATAGATTTGGGTAAAAACGTTTATGTATTATAAAAAAAAAAACACAACAATTTGTTGTTTTTCTTGGAGGGTGTCAAACAGGTGAAGAATTGAGCATTACTATTAAAGACGAAATGGAAAGATAATGTATCAGACCTGCACTAGATAAAGTATCTGCTAATCCTAGAGACAGATGAAGAAAGTTTCCCTCTACCTTTACAGACTTCTGAAATGACATTGTTTTCCCAGGTAAAATTTAAAATTCAACGACATTGTATAGGGGCGCCTGGCTGGCTCAATCAGTAGAACATGCGACTCTTGATCTCTGGGTCATGAGGTCAAGCCCCACACTGGGTGTTGAGATTACTTAAAACAACATCTAAAACAATGCACTTAAAATTCAGTAAAATTTTCTTCTTAGTTTGTAATAGCTGCTAGATTTTTTTAAGTCCTAAACATTCCAGTAAAGTGAATCAATGTCATTAAGTGGTTTGATAAACAGCAGCTCAGGAAGAGAACTGCTCTCCCTTTCAGAACAGCATTCATCACAGGTGAGCTCTGGCCTTGGGCAGCTCTGCCTCCTTCCTGGGTCTGGGAGGGAACGTCCAGGCCATGTTTATCATGCCTGATCTGCCAGGTGAGGAGGAACTGTCTTTTGAACCTACTTCTCAAAATGCAAAGAACCAAACCCAATGCAGCTGAGCCCACAGAGAAAATGCCATCTCCCGTTGTTCTTGAGCCATTTTTACAACCACCATCTCCTCTCCAGGCAAGGCTAGAATGCCCTGGGGGAGTGATCCTTGTAAAGCCAGCCGGCTCCCACAAAATGTTATTGATGCCTCCTGAGGGCATGCTGGGTCTGCTGGGTCTGCTGACAGGAGGAGATGTCCTTATGCTTCGGGGGACTGCCCCGCGTTCCCGCCCACCATGCTCTCGTCCACTTCCCAGTGGCCCTGCGGCTTTGGTGGACAGAGCCTGTCAGAATTCCAGTGGGTGTCCCCATCTCACTTAGGATTCACATGATGTGCTCTCCTGTGCCACAGTCCCTCAAATTCTCACTTTTGGGTACGGAACACAGGTGAGGTTCGTTCGTGGGCTCAGGTGGTGTTCCCCATTACTCATAATGTGTGAGTATTCTGCTTAGGAACGTGAAGACCTGGCATTGATTGGGTTGTATTACAGTAAGTGAGCCTCAGTCTCTTTCCTGCCCCCCCTCGGCTCACACAAGGCACAGTGGGCTCCGTCGGTGACAGCTCATCAGAGGTTGACCAGCCCAGGATGTGTCCGGCCTCCAGCTGTGCACCACCTCCACAGTCCTTTGTCTGGTGCCATTATCCAGCTGGACGAACGTACATCGAAGACAAGATTGTCCTACAGATATAGGCAGTGATTGAGCTGGCTCTTCTTCTTGAGGCTGGGGATTTCTGATGTTTCCGTTTGATAGATAATAGGTGCCTACCGTGTGGCAGGCACCGTGGCAGGCCTGGGGAGTACCGCAGGTAACAAAGCAGATGAGGCCCCTGCCCTCATGGAGCTGATGTTCTCATGATCTGGTTACATGGGTTATTCAAGCTCAGCTCATTCGAAGGCCAGCTTCAGTGCTGCCTCCTTCACGAAGCCTTCCGTGATCCTTCCACTCGATTCCCCTTCTTCTCAACCTCCAACAGAGTTGGTACTCACTTACATCATGTGTCATAGCCTGGCATAATAGTTATGTGGTCCTAGAAAACACTGCATGGTGGATCCCATGGGCGAAGGAAGGTTTTATTCCTCTCCGTTCAGTGGCAGGTACAGGGCTTGGCTCCGAGTCCCAGCACAGTAAATTACTGAAAAATGTCACCTGCTGTGGCTAGCACAGATTCTTGCTAATAGTTGGAACTTTAAAAAAAAAAAAAAACTTCAATTAAATAAATTATTGGGGCGCCTGAGTGGCTCAGTCAGTTAAGCAGCCAGCTCTTGGTTTCAGCTCAGGTCTTGATCTCAAGGTCATGGGATTGAGCCCCAGGTTGGGCTCTGTGCTCAGCTCAGAGTCTGCTTGAGATTCAGCCTCTCCCGCTCATGTTCTATCTGAAATAAATCTTTAAAAATTAATTAATTAATTATCATTTGGTGTGTAGATGATCCAGACCTTCCTCTTCTTTTTGTCTTTCTTATTGTCCTTCCACAAGAGTTCCCGGGCACTGTTTCCCTCTTTGCCCTTTATCCTAAATCAGCACCTGAGAAGGTTTCTGGGAAGTACTTAGAGTGCGCATGTTACCACCTCAGTGGTTCTGTGCTCTCCTGCCTCTCCTCTAGACAGTACCTGAGGAAAAGGGGAGTGATACGGAAGCGTGGTAGTGACTCTCATCTTAAAATAAAGTTAAAACTAAAGATAGAAAGAAATGAATAAATACATATACACATACATTTATGTATGTATATACACACAGACCAAAAAGTTTTTTACTCTTCAACAAAATACTGTATCTGTATTGATTGGTTTTGAAACCAAAGTCTGGCTCTGAGAAAATCTAGATTTTTAAGAATGAGTGATCCTGCTGTTTATGGAAGATTATACTCTCTACCCGTGCAAGGCTTAGTCCAGGGCAGGAATGGGACGGCAGTTGGACAGGGATCCGCTGTCTCGTCCCAGCATCTGGAGCGTGAGTGGGAAACTGCTGTGGACTCTCTTGCGTATAATCACGGGATTGGGAGGGATTAGCGCTCCTGCTTTGTAACTGCAGCGCATGATGGTCTCCAGTGGCACAGAGGTAGGTAAAGCAAATACAGGTGTCCGTACGATAGGATCTTCTCCAAGATTAGTTTTAATATATTTTTAAGGCTTCAAAAGATTTAAGAAAATAACAAGCATAGTGAATGATCTTCTTCCTCATTCCATTTCTTAAAGTGTAAAACGTTTTATTCCATTCCACGGGGGTGACACCCTAGAGTCAAGTACTCAGGAAAAGGCCAAGCGCAGTGTCCAGGGTCACCGGTTTTCCGTTTGTAAAGTAATGCCTCATAACTGCATGGATTTGGTGAGCGCCACTGTTTCCTAAGCTTTTTTCTATCTTTTTTCCTCCTGAAAAATCATCACTTCAGGGTTGACTAGATTTTTGAGATCCAGTGAGAAGATTCATTTAGATATATTTTCTGTAAAGCATTTTGGTTATTTGAGGAAGGCTTCCCCTCACATTTCTTTTAAAAATGTGTTGTTGTTTTTGTTAATTGCTGCTGGTATTTCGACGTGAAGTCACTTCAAGGTTGAGCACAGAGATACGGACAGCAGCGTAGCTCAGAGTCTGGCCACAGGCTGGCTCTCCCCCAGACCAGCCAGGCTTTACCCCTTCCACAGCCGCTGACTTTGCTTTTGACACAGCTTCCTAGATGGGTGTCATTTGTCCCAAAGTCTGACCAGGTCAAATCCGTACAGACTTGGGTGCGTGCACGCACAGATTGACACGGAGTTGTACTTGTGTTCAGTCAAACTAACACATTCCTTTGTCAGGATTCGTTTTTAATTTCCTTTAAAATCTTCTTTCATAGCTTTTGTTTACCAAGAAAGTGGATGAAAATAATTTTAAAATTCTGTCTTCTGAGCCCTGTGATATTTTAAGTGATGATGACATTTGCAGTCTGTGATGATGACACTGGCCTTCAGCACTGGTAACTTGTGGTTTTTGGAGGGAACAGTACATCTTGAGAAGAGTATCACTGGGAACAGCTCAGGTTTGGGCCCGCTTTGAAAGGTGTGTGCGTGAGAGATGGACCTCGGCCTCCAACAGGTCCGCCCTGCAGGTGGCGCGTGGGCAGCCACAGCTGGGCGCCCCCTGCACGCCACACGCAGCCCGGCTCTGCCGCAACAGCCTGTCGGTGACGTTGGGAGGATTCTTTGTGGGCCGTTCAGTCAAACCTGCTGTGTCTCTCTTGTCCTTCAGACTCGCTGTCCGTCTCCAGTAACGACGCCAGCCCACCGGCCTCGGTGGCTTCTCTGCAGCCCCACATGATGGGGGCCCAGAGCTCCCCAGGGCCCAAGCGGCCCGGAAACACGCTGCGCAAGTGGCTGACGAGCCCGGTGCGGCGGCTGAGCAGCGGGAAGGCCGATGGGCACGTCAAGAAGCTGGCGCACAAGCACAAGAAGAGCAGGGAGGTCCGCAAGAGCGCCGACGCCGGCTCGCAGAAGGACTCGGACGACAGCGCGGCCACCCCGCAGGATGAGACCGTCGAAGAGGTCAGAGCCCCGCTCGGCTGGAGCCCGTTCACCAGGCAGGGCCACCCACCGGGCCCGCCGGTTTCCCCTGCGGTCGTAGGAATAGCTGCCGCTCGTGAACACACTACTTTGGTTCCGTTTCCGTAGGTCCCTGGGACTGTCTGCTCCTTAAATCCCTTGTCAGCAGACCGTTGGGATCGGTGGGGACAAGCTGTCCCCATAGCAGCTCCGCGTTAACACGGGCAGGACCCGTGGTGGCTTCTGAGAAAGAGCTCGGAGGACAGTGGGCCTCCGTGCCTGCCCCCCCCAGCGCCCCAGGTATGGGCACCCCCAGGCCTGCTAGAAGGAACAGGGCGCTGTGCTGCCTAGCCCTTCTGTTCACGTGCCCCAGACAAGCGGGGGATGCCGTTCGATGCTGCAGGTCTAAGCAGTCCCTAAACCATGGCGCGGCCCTGTGCAGGCAAGCACCAACTTCAGACATGGAAGGACTGGAGGAGTGTGTGCGTCCCCCCCGCCATACTCATACTCCTGTCTGTCCTCAGTGGAAAGCACCCAGTGAATTCAGTTCACTAACCAATAAACGCTTCATTATTTCCATGTCATTAAAGATAAACGTCTATCGGTCAGCCAGGAATTTTTTTAAGTTTCTTTTTGTTTGGGGTTGGGGAACTTTAAATGATACTGCAAGGAACAGAATCCCTTCATGATCCCCAGGCTGGCTCTGTCAGGCTGGTGGTGTCAGTGAGGGACCCTCAGAGTTTTTAACTGAGACCACCCCCCCAGCCCCGCCCAGCTCCCTCAAAAAGAAAAAGGCAGACAGAATGGATAAGATTTGTATCGTTTAATTTATTTTGCAGATATGGGTTTTCTGCTGCTTTTTTCCTGGGCATATTTTGCCCTGGGTTTTCACTAGAGCATGTGGTTTATTATGTCCTCATCTGTCTGTTTTCTACATCTGTGTCCTCTTAGTGAAATAAAACTGACAATTTTTCTAAAAGTGAAAGCAGAGTAAAATTGAGGTGGGACTAAATTCAGATTCTCCCAGTGCATTTAGAGTTATATTGTTCCTTATGCCATTATAATTTCAGTGAATTTTATTCTAGCAAGGAACCAAAAATTAAAGCAGACCAGAGGAACTGAAACAACCTGAGAATTACTAACAGTTCAGAGTTTTGAACTGATCTGGGGTGGGGGGTTGGGGGTTGAAGATGATAGGTGTTCAAAGCCTAACGGGTAATGTTGGCAGAGACCCCTTCAGAAGACACGTGCGGCAGCCCTTCTGTCATCCAAGTCGGCAAGTGAAGTAGCTGGATTGCAGGAAGGGGATGAGCAGTTACTATCGGGTGGAAAGAGCTTGCTTGATTTCTGTCCTCTCCATTCCTGTCCCAGCTATACTTTCCCAGTTAACCCCTTAGGGTTCCTCTCTGTGATCTGACCTTGACAGTCGGGCCTAGCGTATAATGAGCAAACATTGGTTTGATTTCAGAGAGGCCGGAATGAGGGCCTGAGCAGTGGCACGCTCTCAAAGTCCTCATCATCCGGCATGCAGAGCTGCGGAGAGGAAGAAGGGGAGGAGGGGGCCGACGCCGTGCCTCTCCCCCCGCCCATGGCCATCCAGCAACACAGCCTGCTCCAGCCGGATTCACAGGATGACAAGGTGAGCGGCCCACGCCACTGCACCCCAGCCTCGCTGTGGCAGCTGGTGGCTCCAGGGCTGTGAACAGCCACCTGGAAAATGTGCTGCCCATTTTCACCCCGAAAGTACAAATAACAAAGTCCATTTAGACCAGGCAGTAGACCAACGTGTAGTTTCTCATACATGTACACTTGTATAAATACATTCAATGCATTTTTAATGATGCTTCAGTAACTGTTACTTTTAAAGTAACTTTATTTTCTGTTTACTGTACCGCCCGGGGACCCTGAGAGAGGAGTCCGAGAAATCACGCGCAGTCTTGGTGACTGCATCCCTGCGCGAACATTAGGCCATCTTGCTCTCCCTGCAAGGTGTTTTTGCACATGGGCATTGTTTTCAGATGGGATTGTATTCCTGTCCAGTCCCTCTGTCCAGCATGCCTCATGTTAGCGTTTAGGATCAGCTGGGATGTGGGGATAGGTGTCAAGGGGTAGGGATCAGTTCAAAACCATAAATCTCCTCTTTGGGTGTATGTGGAGGCTTCAAACCAGGCTTGGGTTTTTGTTTGTTTAGATCTAAAACCAATATTTTGTGCATCCCGGTTGTAGAGCCCTAAACTATCCAAAAGAAACCTGGTGACTGGCTTGCACGTCCTCTTGCATTCTGGCCCAGGTGTTGCAAACCGTGCTATGAAGTCATTACTAGAGGGGTGCCTTGGCTTTTTGTTTTTTGGTTCTTTTTGTTTTTGGGGGGCAGTAACTAAGCTTTCTGAATAAAACAGATGTTTTCATCATTTTTGCCCATTCTTCCTCTTTTTCCTTCCCTGACTCCCTCTTCAGTGCTAACACAGTCATTTGCTGGATTATCTGTGTTTTATGACCTGGACTCTGCCCCGGCCCAGTGATGGGCGGCTGTGAGGCCGAGGCAAACCACGAGTTAGTCTTAACGTGGGCAGCCACCTCCCACCTCCTGGGAACCCACCTCCCCGCCCCCGTTGTGGCACTGTGGGGCTCGGCTGGAGGATGTGGCTTGGGTTGGAGTCTGGAGTTTGGAGGCATGTGAGGTGCAGGCGGGCGCTGAGGGAGCTGAGGTGAGGTGAGGTGACAGAGGGCCTCACCCCCTGCACAGAGCAGATTTGCCAGGAAATGGGAACATGTCATTTCTCAGACAATTCCTAAACTATTTTGTGGCATCCCAAGCTGTACCTTCCTTGAAAGCAGGAAACTGAAATTTCGTAAATCTGGATGGTTAGCCAAAGTGAGATGTGGGGCCTGGTTGACTTACTCCCCTAGTAAGAGTGTTTTTCTCCATGTAAGGAGTGGATTGTGCTGTATACTTCAGTGGCTGAAATCATTTATTGGTTATCGTGTTACCTCATTGGGTATTATCAGTAGCAGTTCTTCATTTACAAAAATCTATAGTGATATTCCCAGAGAGTATATTATCTTGTGACTAATATTTTGTTTTGTTCTGTTTTCTCTTTTTGTAAACTTTCACTGCAGCATTACGTTGATTTGTGTTCTGTGTCTGTTTTGGCTCAGTTTCCTTACCTCTCCATTTGAATTTTTTTCTTTGTTTTCTTCACCCCCCCATACTCCAGATTTCATTAGACCAAACCAACATTTGTTTTGCAAATCCCATATCTGGATCCACACATGTAAAAGCCTCGTTGTGAATGTATGAATCCGTATCTGTCTCCTGTGAGAAATGCATTGTTAGGACAGCTAGCCGTGTGTCGCATGCATCTCTGCTGTCCTTAATATGAAGCAAGGTTCATATTACACCCCTCTTCTAGTTTCCAGTTAATTGATGGCACAAGTAATCTGCAAACACACTGTGTTTGCTAATTACTGAAACTTGAATTCAGCAGCCCCTCCCTCAAATTCCTTACCTGTCAAACCCCTGTACACCCTGATTCTAGCCGTAAATGGCATCTCATAGCTTGTGAGGCCACAGATCTTCTGTACTCTGCACTAATCATTGGGGAAATGGATGGCACAGAAAATGGTGAGCTTGTCCCCCCTCTTCCCTGTCTGGTCAGTGCACCCCCGGTTCCTTTCCTTTTCTTTCTTTTAACCCCATAAACACAGGCGAGCCATTTTTAGTATCCTGTTCGGTTTCCTGATTATTTGAGGATCACTCGTTAGACCCTAAGCCTTTCATTCTTGCTTGATCAGATTCTGTGTTTTTTCCTCCTCAGCCACTAGCCTATAGCTGGCAGTTGCAAAAGTTACAGTTAGCAATCTCCCGCGCCCAGTCACCTCTTTGAAAAACATTATGATGTTACATGACTGAGGATTAAAAACAGACTTTGTCTGCGTACCACATGTATCCCAGACAGGTTTTATTTAGTATTTCATGTCAGAATATTGTAAATTTAAAAGGATGACTTTAAATAAATGCAAACAAAGACAAACTTGTGGTCTTTTTGTCTGGAATTACTTTGAAAAAGAGATTGAGCTTGCAGGAGAATTTACTGTCTATCCAGTGACTAACATGAGGCATTCCCCTCCCCCTTCTTTTTCTCTTCACTTCTTCCGTAGGCCTCTTCTCGGTTATTAGTCCGCCCCACCAGCTCCGAAACTCCGAGTGCAGCTGAGCTTGTGAGTGCAATTGAAGAACTCGTGAAAAGCAAGATGGTAAGGCTTCCCAGAGAAAGTCTGAGGTTTGGAAGCTGCGGTAATGGCTGCTTGCAGATGGATGTGCCCCTGTTCATGTCATGCTCCGATCTGCAGAATGTGTCTGTGGCAGGTTACACAGGTGGAGTCCCCAAGGCCACCCTCACTCCTGACCAGCTGCACGTTTGGGGGTACCCAACACCACCCTCAGGTTCAAGAATTTGCTTGAAGGACTCACAGAACTCAGAAAAGGTGTGATACCCCTAGTTGTGGTTTCTACTGTGAAAGGACAGATTCAAAGCAGTCAGGGAAGAGGTGCGTGGGGCAGGGTGCAGGAGGGCTCCAGGGTCAAGCTTCCAGCTGTCCTCTCCCAGTGGAGTCATGCAGAGCACTGACTTCTCCTGACCACGATGTGTGACATCGTTGGCGCATCACATATGTAGAGTCTGGCCAACAGGGGACACTAACCTGAGCCTCGGTGTTCAGAGTTTTTATTTGAGCTTAGTCCCATACACAAGCCATTGCCTGCTGGCATGGCTCCCCTTTGTCTCCTGCCCCTCCAGAAATCAAGATACCACGTGGCCCAAAGCCCCCACCAGGAGTCACACTGTTGGCATGGACTGTCTGTCTTGGCCCAAGGCGCCTAGGTAAATAGACATGCCTATCAGGCCGGACATCCAGGGGGGTTAGCGGCACCTTCCAGGAGCCAGGATTAATCCGTTCTTGCACCTACATTGACCGCAGTGCTAGCACCATTTTAGCAGGTGTGGTCAGTTCCGCTCATGTCCGCAGGTGTGCCCTCGGCCAGTGGCACACACCCATAGCTTGATAGTTCCTTTCGAGGTCTCCGAGATCTTTCATTCGGATTCACAGTGTATAAGAGAGAAGAGCTTGCACTGTTATGTAAGGGCTTTCTTTTCTTAGTGACCTCTGTATTTCCAGTTGGTCAACATGGATTCATTTAATAAAAGCTCCAAAATCAAAATACTAATTTGAAGTTAGATAGGTAATGTACATTGCTTCTAACTGATTCAAATCAATTAATTTCTGTGTTTCTTTGGTTTTCCTAACTGTGAGATGGGAAAGCCATTAATGGTAACAACCTTTACATTTGTGTATCTTACAACTCCCATAAAGTTACTTAACATCTTTTAAAAGTCACCCCTCCGAAAATAAAAATCCTCCAGCCTCTCCCACCCGTCCCTCTTCCAGAGGTAACCACTATGATCAGTTTGGTATGTTTCCCTCCAGACATTTTCTTTGCAGGTACAAACATATATGGGGAGGGGAGAGTGCTTGTCCATGCTCTGTTTTTCAAAAATGGTTTCATTCCGTTTTTAAGTTCTAAGACTTAATAAATCTTGAGGAGCTTCTCACATCAGTACATGAGGTTTACCTCATTCCTTGTAATAGCTGTACAGTATTCCATAGCGTGGATGCAGTGGTAATCTACTGAGGGATTACTCTATACCAGGCACTATTCCATGCCTATATTAGCTTATTAGGAGCCCAAGGAAGTAAGTACACATTACTGCCATTTTATTTTACAGATGACAGAACTGAAGCCACAGAGTTTAAAAACTTAACCAGCCAATAAGGGGCAGAGACCTGATTATACTACATAATTTATTTAAAAAAATAAAATTGTGTTCAGTTTTGCACTATTGTAAACCTCCATGGTGGTTATGTCTGTGTGGTTAGATCTGTAGGGTAAATTTCTAGCACAGGAATTGCCAGATCAGAGAGTATACTTTTTCAAGTTGGAAATTTATGTTCCTTCCAATAAGTATTAACTGGGTAACGTTATATCATCCCCATTTCTTCTACTCCTAGACAGGTTCTGATCAATCATCTGATCTTTTTTTTAATCATCTGATCATTCTACCCATCAGAGACAGCAAGAGAAACTGTTAGCCTGTCTGTGAGTACCACTGACCCTGGACACACGAGACAGACTGGAATTGACCACATTTGCTAGTGAAACTGTGGTTGACTCAGCCAAATAGGAGTTGTATCAGGAAAAATTCAGACTGTTTCACTCTGCCATAATTGGAATTTCTTCCCAGGTAGTCATGCTCTGAAAGTGACACAATGGGCTTGGAAGTTAGACAGGAAAGTTGCTAGTAATTGGTAGAAAACCTAAGAACTTGACTCCACTGGTCGAGAGTTTGGGATCATTTCAGTTTGAACTGAGCTAAACCACATCGTGGCTGTCTCTTTGAGACTACTTGATTGATGGTCTAAACAAAGGATACTTAAATTATACCCTGCGAGCTTTCAAGCATCCTTAAACATTTTAAAAACAGTCATTCATACTCCTCAATTATATGATCATTAAAATCATTCTGTCTAATAATTGAAATAGTTTTCCCAAGCAAGGTTATGAGGTGCCCTTTGTCAGCCTGCTCATCATCATTCTGCCAGTGTTGGAATTGCATTCAATTCGAAGTGGGTTGAGATTCGTTTGTCATTAATTCACATGGACTTGAAATGGAGAGGAGTTCTAGGACATGGTTTCTTTAGCTCTTACTGCTTCATTCCTTCCTTTCAGTTCCAAGGCACTAAACTTTACCAGTTGAAACTCAGTTCTTTCTACTCAGGTTTCTCCTTCAGTTAACAGGCATAAAGCTCTTGGATTGTGGAAAGGGCATAGGTTTCAGAGTCAGATACACTCGTGTTCAAACACTGCTGCTTACACTCGGGCTCTCCGAGCCTGTGTCCTTCAGCTGTAAACTCGGCATAAGGACTATTTGCTAAGCTCTCAGCAAGGTTCCATCCACGTGGGCAATCACTAGTGCTTGCGTATTTGTGCTGTTGGAGGACCGTGTTTATGCTCTTCATGCCGGATTCATCCCATCGTCAGTGTCCATGGAATATAATCTAGATTCTGCCCTCTTTTTCTGGCTCAAGGGAAACATTGCTCTGTGTTGATTTCCTGTCACTAATCCTCTGATGTCAGAGGAGAACTGCTGTTAGTCAGTGAAAACTCTGAATCATTTTACTCTCTTTTCACCTGTCCTGCGCATGTGACCCCAAGTTCGTCCTGCACGTTTACCATGTGCTATAGGTCCCTGGTCATCTGCATTCGTTTTCTTGTGGGTGACCTCTCAGGCTATAGGGCCTTCATAATAGAATTCGAACACTGAGTTGGTTGTCCTTCAAAAGCTACATACTAACTTACTGGCCTGGGAAGAAGTTGTTCAACTATTACACAGTATGATATTTGGGGAACTGAACCTCCTAACCATAAAACCTGCAAAGTCCATCTGAAAAATAAAACCACCCTGGAAACTAGTTCCTGGGGTTCACTCCTCTCCCTTACCGCCACATCCCAGGTCCAAGTGGTGTGGGAAATGTGCGTCTTTCCCAAGCACTGGCAGCGACAGCCACAGTGACCATTTGCACTTGACTTTGGGGTTTTCTCCTCTTTGTTAATCTAAATATAAAAGGAGACATGAGAAAGAAAAAACGAATAAACATCTACCTCAACATACTAGAAAAACAACAGAAATAATGAGTTGAGAAATAGAAAAGCAGAATAATAAATAAAACCAAAAATTTGTTCTTTGAATAAGTAATAAACATCAGATAATCTTCTCAAGAAAATAGAAAGGGAAGCACAATTTCACACAACAAGGAATTATATGGGAAGGGGCAAACTAAAGAAGTTAAAATAATCATAACACTTCTTTTGAGGTCTTTGAAAGTAAATTGGAGAATCTGGATGAAACAGGCAGTTTCCTAAGAAAATACAGTTTACCAAAACTAACCCTAGAAGAGATGGATTATCTGTGCAGACCTGTCCTCATCCAAGGAATAGAGCAAGTTGACAAGAACCTGCCCACAGAACACCGCCAGACCCACAGGACTTCACAAGTAATTCACCCAAATCTGTGAAGTCTCAGGAATTCTGGTTCCACGAGGCTTATCCGGTCCACGCCTCCCGTCCACACCCTTGGCAGTCCAGACAACCATCCCACCAGCTGACACCAACGACGTCCACTGCTTGGCCTCCTTGCTCGCTGCTCTGTGTGAAGGGACATCTGGAGACATCTTTATTTTCTTTCTTTTTTATCACCCTTGAAAAGAACAGAACTGAATCTAATGAGCATCAGCTGTTTCCTCACAAATCTAGACCCAAGACAGTGCAGAGCGTCCTCCCCTCTTCCTCCAGACCCCAGTCTCCCGTAGAAGAGCTCCGCGATCCACGAGCACCAAGCAAGCCATGCGGCTTCCTGCAAAGTGTTTGCTTCCAGTAAAGGCCAATAGCTAATTATTTCAAAATAAGAGTGCTATTTTCTCATCAAACCCCGTTCCCTGACTATCTTTCACAAATAAGTGCAGCAGTTGGTGTGTTTCCATGCTCCGTGGGTTTGGTGAACAAAACTACATGCACAGACTTTGTGTCCTCAAAGCTGTGCTTAGTGACGAGGTCAGCATTGGTCCGTGCTCTTAAGGGGAAACAGTTGGACAAGCATTAGAGGTTTTGATTTGATGCGAAATATTAAGTGTTCCTGAGTTTGTATTGAGCTTTTTGTTTGAAGGTAAGTTAATCACGTTTTCCCAGTTCCCGTCTAGATAAATACTTCTTGATCACACCTGTCATCCAGCTGGGTGTTTTGGAAATTTTGAAAGAACTATAACCCATACCCCTTGGAGCTTTGGGAATTCAGGTTAAGAAACACAGTTAATATGTACCAACTAGAAAGTAAGCAGTCGCTAATCATTGTCACATTAGTCTAGGGACAGAAGTCAGTATTCATCTTAGATGTGTTGAACACCTGCAAAGCTTCATTCAAGGTTCTACAGGGAATACAACACTGAAGACAGTCACTCATGGAAACTAAACTCCAGTGGAGGAGAGGGAGTTTAGGATACGTCATCGAGGCAGCATGACAAGTGCTTCCTACAGAAGAGAGGAAGGACGTTGCAAGTATCCAGAGATAGAGCTCCATTCATCTGGGCAATGTGTGTGTACTGAGGGAGGAGTCAAGGCTTCATGGATAATCAAGAATAGTCCCCACCCTGTCTAAACTAAAATAGAGATCGCCGACATTGCTGCATAGCCCACCCACAGGGGACACGGGTGATGTGCCTGGGGTAGGCTGGCATGATGGAGGAGTTTCCACACACTTCTGAAATGGTCCTGCTGTCATTTGGCAGGAATATAACTGCGAAAAAATGGCTACATGTGGAATGCCTGATACACCCAGAAATGGGGGCAGTGCTGTGATGGAAACAAGTTGGGTTATTTCTAATTATCTGATTATAAGGAATAGAATTTATTAATGCGTATAAATTCACTGTCCTTTTTGTTCTAACATACCTCGTTTATCAAGCTACTCTTGCTCAATATTTATGTTAATAGTGGAGGTTTTTGTTACGAATACCGTGTAATATCACAAACATAGATCTTCTGATTTTACCATCAGGACTTCTGTCTCTTCTGACTTAACGAGGTTTTCTAATCCTAATTCCAGCCTCCTGGACTGTAGGCAGGAAACGTGACTGGTGGTCTGGTTTTCTTTCAGGCACTGGAGGATCGCCCCAGCTCGCTCCTTGTTGACCAGGGAGACAGTAGCAGCCCCTCCTTCAACCCTTCAGACAACTCCCTCCTGTCCTCCTCCTCGCCCATTGATGAGATGGAAGAAAGGAAATCCAGCTCTCTAAAGAGACGGCAGTAAGAGACGTTTTCATGTCAGCATTGGTCAGCTTTCCTCCTGTCTCTGTCACCTTCACAAATGTGACAGGGATCCGTCTCTGGATGGGTGCAACGAGTAGTTCAGGGTCGCTCCTGGAGTAGTTGTATATGTCTCTCAGAATCTCTCAGAGCCTTAGAAGGGTGCAGGAAGCCATACCTGCAGGGTTGTTTTTTTTTTAAGAGTTTGGAAATCGTTTATTTTACTAAATTTTTTTTTTTTTTTTTTGAGTAAGCTCTACACCTAACGTGAGACTCAAACTCATGAGCCTGAGATCAAGAGGGCCTGCCCTGTATTGACTGAGCCAGCCAGGCGCTCCCCAATAGCTGCAGTTTTGTTATTTGTGTGTTATACTTTATTTATAAATAAGAATGATACAAGAATATCTTCTGTCACTTCTACTGAGAAACTCCTGTGCTTTCTATTATATACGGACTTGTGAAGGAAAGAAGGCAAAATCAGATACAGTCCCGAAAACTTGAATATTTTTTTAACATAACCTTAGTGATAGTGTTTCTCAGTTCCAGTAAAGCCGCTTACAGTGAAAAAAGAGAATCCTGGGAAATATTACAAAAGGTTTTAACCTTGCCTTTGGAGAAGAGGAAATTCTTGTGTGTGGGCAGAGACTCGGTTTTACTGAGCGCTCTATCCTGACACTCTGGATCCTAGAATGATGGCGGGCTTATGGAGAGGCCCGGCCAGTGTTGGCTGAATTGGATGGATGAGCAGACCAACAGACTCTTTTCATGCCAGCTGAGGTGGATCAACTAATTGTCTTCTCTTACCAGAGAGGCCTTGCAAACAGTTATGAGCCTTCAGAAACACTTCTGGATGAGTGATCAGACCCGAAGCTTTAAACATCTGAGTTAAAGTTTTTTGTCGTAGGTCCAGTGAAGCTTAAAATGACTTAATCATTTAAAAAGAGAACAAAACAAACTTGCTTCTTTTACTGTCATGCCTCTATAACAAAGTTATGTCCAAGCCTCTCTTGATTGTCCATATATGTGATCATAGTCCACAGCTCTTGTGGGTTACGTACATGAACCTGTAAGTGATTTGGGACACTCAGGAATTGGAGACCCAATTGTGCAAGTTTGATATATTACAGTACAATCCCAGTGGGAGTCCGACCTGACAAAAGCAAAGTGCTAAAGAATTCATTCAGAAAATGAAAAGCGTTTGGATTGTAAACACTCATTTTTCCCTCTCTTTCCAGCTATGTTTTGCAAGAACTCGTGGAGACAGAGCGTGACTATGTGCGGGACCTTGGCTGTGTGGTTGAGGTATATGTTTTCAGAGATTTAATAACTTGTATCAGCCCCAAGAGTTGTGAAGGGAGTATCATGTTTGACAGTTCAACACTGATAAACTTCTCAAAAGCTTTAAAAACATTTTGACACCCCCCCCACCAAAAGAAAATCAAGTTTCAGGAAAATGAAATTTAGCCAATTATCTTCATCTGTATTCACTTTTAACTGCTTCTTTTTCACATAGTGTATCTTTGACATAATCACTTTTTTTTACAATTAAGTTTTTAAATTATATCCAGCCATTGTATTCATGACACGGGAATCTTGCCTTTGATTATTTACAAACATGGATATCCTCGCAGAAATGAGAACATCGTTGGTTGAAGAAGTCAGTTTGGCCAACTGTGGCTTCAGTCCCATCCTGAATCCACCTGGGTTCAGAGCTGGTCTGTGGCTACAGCAGGCCATTTGCTTATACTTTCCACAGACCAAATACATCACCATCTGCATGGCCCTGAAGTTGCTACACACAGTGTAGCCATAAGAGAACCATGGCCTTTCATTCTGCATCAAGGGCCCTCTCCAGGCTTTTCCCTGGCATTAAAGCTCAGGGCATAATCATATTTATAAACTCAACTCCTCAAAAAGCTGTTTTTGTACTGTATATTTGTATTACAGTATATACTAATACAGTTTTACCGCTTATTCTTTCGGCTTCACAAATTCATCTAGGACAATACTTTTGGGGTGTTCATTCCATTAAAAGTAACAGCTTTCACAGTTAATTGTGTAACAAAAGATTTAGCATGCTTGATGCCTCTGCAATTTAAGTAACTTGAATTACTTAAGAGAGAAGTGTATAGGCTGAATCCCACTCAAGATAAGTTGTAAATGACATTTTAGCAACATATTTAATCAACTGTTATTAAAAAATCACTTTATGGAAAGAATATTGTTAAATTCTTATTTAACAAATTATGTAAATAATCCAAAAAGAAAAGGAAATCTGTTTATGTTCTTATCCTAAGAACAGAGAAAATATGTTTCTGGCCAAATATTTAATGTTTACAAGCTGCTAAGATGATTTGTTTTATGAAACCATTTACATTTAAACCTCTTCAGTTCCTTTGAAGACTTTGGATCTATGAAGGCCACCAGCTCAAGGAGAGAAAATCATGGCAGTGTGTGTGGCCGTACAGTCCAAGTGCCATGCAGGACTCTTTCCTACAGGGCTCTTATCTGTTTTTGAAGAAGTATTGGGTTATGAGACAGTGCATGTGTCTGTTTTGTTCTTTATGACTGTTAGTCCGTAAGTTATTACTTGATCCAAATATGTCAGTGAAGCAAACTTACTCTTAAATATTCAATTATAGGGCTACATGGCTCTTATGAAGGAAGATGGTGTTCCTGATGACATGAAAGGAAAGGACAAGATTGTATTTGGCAATATCCATCAGATTTATGACTGGCACAGAGAGTACGTAAGACACTTGCCATGCATGACAGTGTGCACAGCATCATCACTTGCTAAACTGCGTTGTGTCAGGCAAATGGGAAAGGCCGTGCAGTGGCTTGTCTCCTTTTATTACCTGTGTGGCCTCCCAGAGGTAGCTGGTGCAGAGGAAGTACTGATCGGGGCACCTGGGTGGCTCAGTTGGCTAAATGTCTGACTCTTGATTTCAGCTCAGGTCATGATCTCAGGGTCCTGGGATCAAGCCCCACATCAGGCTCCATGCTCAGCGCAGTCTGCTTGAAATTCTGTCTCCCTCTGCCCCTCCCCCTGCTGGTGTATTCTCTCTAAAATAAATCAGTCTTTCAGGGAGTTTTGTGGTAGCATGTCATGGCGGGGGGGAAGAGTCTCTTCTGCTTGCTGGTGCATCCAGGGAGCACCCGTGGGGGTGGCTGGACACACGAGCACCAAGCCTGACTGCTTGGGTTCAGAGCCCAGTGCTGGCCTTGAGCCATTTGCTTCCCTTCTCTGTGCCTCCGTTCTCCTATGCAGTGTGGGTCAGAGTCTTACCCACCCCACTCATGGGGTTTTTCGTGAAGAGACACTGAGTTAATACATGCAAAGCACTTAGAATAGCATCTGTGTGTAGAGTAAGCCTCAGTAAATGTTTCTAATTAGAGTTGCAGCCACCTCTTGATACAATAGTACAATTACTATTAGAGAGTTTTGAAGATACTGTTTTTTCTAAGCATTTTAATGGAAACAGTAGACGTGACTGCACATGATAATCACATTTGACCGCAGCACCTTGTCACACCCATCCCAACCAGGAGATTCACGTGGGGGCTGGTGCACATCAGCCCCTTCGGGTCACCTTACTCCAAATTAAAAAATCTATAATCATCTGCGGATTGCTTAATGCCAGCCACTGATAATACTGTGGAGTATTCCAGCGGCCCTATTCTGTTCCTCTGATCTGTACAGGGTGCCTACTTTACTGTCTTTATGTGCATCGCTGTCCCCATGGCCGGGAGTGTGCTCCCATCTGCTTCAAAGCCCAGGTCAAATGATGACTCTCCAAAAGCCCAGGTCAAATGATCACTCTCCATTAGGCCTCATCACTCCAATCAGATGTGCTCTGTCCTCTTTGCAGATAGCATATGTAAATGTGCTTTTGAAACTATAAAGTACTGTGCAGATATGAGGGGTTATCAGGGTGCGTATATAGTAGTGTTTTATTATTTCTAAATTTATCTGTCCTGATAGAATGTAAAACCCTTGAACCCAGGTACGGGGTCATCATTTTCATATCCCCCTTAATGTCTAATTCAGTCAGACTCGTAGATAAACGAAGGACCAACTTCAGACACAGCCTGACTGATAGCTCTATTGACTGTAGACTAATCTGTGAATCTAATTTTAGAAAGGGATATTTGGTGCTCCTCTATAGTCTGCCACCCCTCGGTCTGGTTGTGAAGCCAGGATGGGAAGAGAAAACAGCACAGTGTTCATGGGTTAACCAGACAGAGAAGTTGCACCTGGAGATGGGGCCCGCCACAGTGTGTGCAGAGCTGTAAGAAAACCCCAGGTGCTAGAAAATTCAACATAGCCTTAATGGATATGCTGGTTTGCGGGTTAATAAAATACCAGACATAACTATCAATGTAGCTAAGTGATGACTGAGGGAGCATGCATCTTGGAGACTGCAGCCCAGAAGAGATACAGAGCAGGTGTCCCACAGCCCTCGTGTTGCTGTGGTTACAACTGATTTCTGTCTCGGTGGGAGCTGATACGCATAACCTGGAGGTGACGTTGGCTAGTATTTGGGAAAATGTTATAAAACTAGCACAGGTAATATATTCAGTATTTTATATCGATTATTATCCAATTTGGGCCTCTTAAAAATTACCATAAAATATATGAAACTCTAGTTTTCAGAAATAAAAATGACCAATCGTGTTGAAACTTTTATTTTTTCTCTGTATTCAGTCGTGATATGTTATTGCTTGTGTCCTTAAGAAAAATGAGACAAAAATGTTGATTGTCCAAGAGAAGAAAAGGTCGCCAGTCAAGGGATGGTCTCATTCTGCCTTGTCTTTTTCACCTGTGTATCTCTCTTTGTTCCTGTCCTAACAAAATGTTTTCTGTGAACACTGTATTTCTTAAGTATATACTTGACACTTTCCGGTTGCTCATGTCACAGCAGACTATTTTGACAAAAATCAGAAGGCCAGATTGGAAACGGCTCTAACATTTCTCTTCTCGTTTCAGCTTTTTTTTAGGAGAGTTGGAGAAGTGCCTTGAAGATCCGGAAAAACTAGGATCCCTTTTTGTTAAACATGTCAGTACAATAACATTATTTATATTCTGTTCTGATATTGTCATGTTTAGTGACTGGTTTTTCAGATTAAAGGAGAACTCACTGGTTGTTTATAAAAGTGCTTATGTTAAGAATCAAACCAAACCGTGCAGTGTCAGCGAATTGGAATTAAACCACACTCTTGCACATGAATGATCGGCTCTCGCGGTCACCTAGCCCCAGCCGGCTGTGGAGCTCAGCACAGTACAGAGTGGTCAGAAGGGGGACCAGAGGCAAACTTGAAGCAGGAACATTTGGGGATGTCTGCAGGCAGACAGCTCAGTGAAGATGGTGATGTACTTAAACATGCAGTAGGTTTAATGTAGTAGCCAAATACATGTGTGTATCTGAAATAAGTGTGTTAACATTAATGGGTTTTTTAGGAAAAATTCCTGCATTTTAAAAAAAAAACTAGTGATAAGAGTTTTTGCATTTTTGCAGATCTCTTTAATGTCTGCCTTAATAGAACACAGATGGATTTTTATATCAGCTTCTGCATTCATTCTGTTGTGGAATGGTTTCTTGGTTAAAATATATGAAAAAAAATCCATCCTCATACAGGTAGAGAGTTGGAAAGGAACAAGTATTTTAATACTCTTTTCAGGTAATTATGGGTAGCTTTCTGAGATACCACACCAGAACTCGACCGTGTGATACCATCTCAAAGGTTAGCTGCCACATGGAATCTGGAAAGCTCTGTAGCGGACTTGTGCCTTACTGTTTCACTGGACGCATTGAGGCCCCTCACACCTGCAGGTGTCCAGCCCTGCACCAGCTTGTGAAATGGCGCTTGGTCAGTTGGAAAATAGTGGTTCCCCAGTTCAGACAGATCTTCCAGATGCTGAGACATTTTGTTACACATTATCAAAAAATCGGATTTGTTAATATCGCCAGCCCTCTCTTTAGGCCAGTGTTTAGGTATTGTCAAGTTCACAGTGGCAGATACCCTGTTTTCCAAAATTCTGATCTTTAACTTGAAAGCTCAGAGTTTCATTATCAACAGATACTGCCAGTTTGCCTTGAAACGACAGACTTTTTGTTCATGTTCAAGAAGATGTTTGTCAGATACCCAAGTATAAATATAGTTTGTGTCCATCCTTCTTTCAAGTAAAAATGGCAGCCCACAAAACCCAGCAGTCAGTTTGGCCCACAGCTCAGTGTCACAAGCGCGCCTGCTTGAGACAACTGTTGTATGCCACAGAAGTGTTATGAGGACCTCTGTTTTGTCACAAGAATGTTAAAAAGACATACACTCCATGGTTGAATTTTCATAAAATGGATTTTTATGACTGCATCCACAACATTCTGAGGTGAAACTGGCAGTCTTCTGCAAATGTGCAGGGGTGAATATTTGCCAATATTTGCTGGTTTTGCACATCCCTGAGATGGTAGCACAAAGAAAGGGGCAAATTATATCTTAGCATTAGTCTGAAAATAGTTCTGACCCACTGGATCCCCTGAAAGGCCACAGGGACCCCCAGGGGTGGGTACACCACACTTAGAGGATCACCGGATGAAGGGATGGCTCACTAGGTACGTTTTCCCCTGCCTTCAGCACCTGCAGTCAAAGAGCTTTTTCTTCCCTGCTAAAGCCAGCAAGGCTTCCTAGAGCACTGGGCCAGTTGGAGGGGTGGCAGTAATTCTCTGTTCAATACGAAGAACTGTGTCCTCTTGTTGCCCCTGTACTTGCCAGGTGAAGTGAGGGGTTTGAAATACCTGAGGGGTCAAGGGGGAAAGACTGTCTTCGGAGCCACAAAGCAGAATGCTGACGTAGTCCTACATCTGGAATGTGCTCCCATGGGCCTAGACCAGTTTTGTTTGAAGAAGATTTCCTTTATGAATGTGCTGAAATGTGTATGTGCTCTTATATTCTAATTGAACTTCTGATTGTTTTAACTCCTCTGTTTGCCTTTTTCATTCCTAGGAGAGAAGGTTGCACATGTATATAGTTTATTGTCAAAATAAACCAAAGTCTGAGCACATTGTCTCAGAATACATTGATACCTTTTTTGAGGTAAGACCCAAGAAAGAAACAAAGTATTTCTGAATCTTTTGTTACAGTTGATGTCCAAAACCTAAAATACCATGTTTCCCAGGAACTAAGCAATCCGTTCCTATAAATCAGAGAAATGAGTATGAATTCTTAGTCTATGATTGTGTATCTGTTAACCTTCAGAAGACTGGGGTCATTGTTAAAATAAGGGGTTTTTTAAGCGGTTTTGAACTTAAGGCTCTTTACAAATTCAGAACAACTCATGATCTAAACTCTCAGCCTAAAAATAAAGCATGTGTTTATATGAATAAAAGAAAGCAAGTGAAAGAAGGTCTTTAAACAAGCAAAAAAAAATGGCTATTTTGAAAACCGCCCTGGAAGGTTGGAAGAGGCCATTCTGAGAAATGGCAGAGCCCTGGCTGATGTTTGTGCAGCGAGGCCCCTTGCCCCACCCCACGCCTCTCCCGCCTTCCGTGCCGGGTACTTGGCATTTCTGACCGTCACAGGGACTCAGCAATTGTCCTCTGAAAGGCAGCACTTACAGATCTTTCTTTTCTCCCTTAAAACCACAGGACTTAAAGCAGCGTCTGGGCCACAGGCTGCAGCTCACAGATCTGTTAATCAAACCAGTGCAGAGGATCATGAAGTACCAGCTGCTACTGAAGGTGAGGGTTTGCTGGGAGCAGACTTGGGCGCAGACTCGGGGTCGGCGGTTTGTTTGGTGAGAGGACCGGATAGGTGAGGGGAAGGAAGGATTGGGCAGGGGAGGGGAATCTTTCCTATAAAAAACCTAAAGCGGTCTTCTGATTTCTGATTTTAAATATTTCAGAGTAAATTTCTTAAAATCTAATAAGGCGCCTTGTACTGTCTTTCTCAATTTTTCATTTACATCAAGTTCTGAATCAAAATGTCACTTGAAGTGAACTTTTTTCCCCATCACAGATCTTTGAATGTTAATCGTTTTTCCTCGGCTCTCTCGGCCTTGCAAGTTTTCTCATCTTCCTGGGGGTCCTGCGTGAAATTAAAATTTCAGAGCTCAGACGCCGTTGATTGGTTTAAATTCCTAAGCACAATTAGAGGCAAAGTCACACAGTTGTCCATGATGAGAGTGAGTGTTGAAATATGTGGAGAGTGCTTCGGATATAAAACTTAGAAGCCGGGCATCCACAGAGCCCAGAGCTGTCTTGGAGTAAAAGACGAGCCGGTACCTGCTTAGATTTGGTTGACTTTGCTCTGCTGTAGCTCGAAATCCTCCTAAGGATATCTTTCCATCATGTTACTGGGAGAAAGCAATGAGAACATACGACCGAGATGCCTGGCCTGGCACCTGGCACATCAGGAATGAGCAAAAAGGTTAGCTGCTGTTGTGATCATCACCCTTATCATGTCCTTCTCTCTGTGCTCCTTGCAGGACTTCCTCAAGTATTCCAAAAAAGCTAGCCTGGATACGTCAGAATTAGAGGTACTTACATCCCCCCACTGGGCCCACCCTGTGCTACCCAGGCCCCTCACTTAATCCTTCCCACCCCTGTCTCCAATGTCCCCTGAGCACCCTGCCCAGGAGGGACCTGTCCCTGGGAGGGGTCTGTCCTGCACCTGGATGTGCCCTCCGCACCCGGGGCGGCGGGGGGGAGCGGGACTGGGGGGATGCGGAGGGGGGCGGTGAGCTGAGGGCGGCAGCTTTCCCCGGGGAGCTGACCAGCGGCTCTGCTTTCTCTCCCACCCCCAGAGAGCCGTGGAAGTCATGTGCATAGTCCCCAAGCGGTGCAACGACATGATGAATGTGGGGCGGCTGCAAGGATTTGACGTAATGCTGCAGCTCTCTAAACTTGCTCCTCCGGCTTCCCTCATTTCCTTCGGTCTTCGATCACTTACCTGCACACATAGAAAGCTGATCCTTTTTGCCTACTTTCTGTCTCCTCTCACTGTTCTTGAACCTGATTGGTATTTTCTTTCAACTTCTTTCGGTGCATCTGATTTGCTTTTTGAGGCCCTCCCTCTGCTCACAGCCCAGCGCCTGCCGGGGCTTGGCTATGACTCGTGGGCCCTCTGATCCTGTAGTGGCACAGCTGCCTTCCCTGGCAGGTGGTGGGAAGCAGGGGGCCCCTGCCCGTCCACCGTCCCTGGGAGCTTGACTTCAGGCGCACTGTGTCCATTGTTCATCTGCCAAACGGTTCTATGAGTTGCCAGACTATTGATATTACATATTGTCCTATTAGTATCTTAAAGATACTCAGAATTTGTACAAATTCAACTACTGAGTAAAGAAAGGGGACACGGGGGCGCCTGGGTGGCTCAGTTGGTTAAGCGACTGCCTTCGGCTCAGGTCATGATCCTGGAGTCCCGGGATCGAGTCCCGCATCGGGCTCCCTGCTC